TGTCAGTAAAGCGCTGACTCAATAGTTCACAAAATTCAAGACGACGATCAAAATCATCTTCATACAACTCTTGAACCAATTTAATTTTGTATGGATGGTACTTATGCTTGTGTAATATTCGATAAACTGTGGAAGATGAAACACCTACTTCTCTGCTTATTGTTGTCAGTGACTGTGCTTGTTGATTTTCAAGACTTACTTGTCCTAAAACTGCGACTTCAATTGCTTCGTTATTTACGAGTTCCAGTCGGTTATGTTCTTTATTGCCAACTGACCCGGTTGATGTTAATTTATGCATAAGATCAATTACATACTTATGAGTTGCATTACCTCCTTGGTGTGTTTCGTTGAAAATTCTAGCAGCAGCTCGTGCAGAACTGTTATTTTTGTAGTATAAACCTACAAGTTCAATTCTTTCTTGTAAACTGTAAACCATTTTCAAATCAAATAGATAACCTCAACAAATCAATGTGCACATGTATCAAAATACACTATAAAAGTAATTTAAATTCATTTTTCAAATCTCCAATACCTTTACCATGTATCATAAAAAACTTCAACAAGTTTTTAGCGGTACGATTAAGGTATAATGTATTCTAAATCCAATCTTGCTGCAGTCAGTAAGGTGAGATGTAAAAATTTGTCACTCAAATAATGAAACCCTGTAGATCATAAACTAATTATTTTAAACCCCATGTTTTATACATTTTTAAAATCAGTTAAACGAGAACAATCCAAAAATAGATAAAAAAAATGGGGGAAGCCATTTAAAAAAATTGAAGGGATGATAGTAGGGGTGAAAGGGTGACTTTTTCAGCAAACTTAAATATGGCACGATATCTCCCCCTTCGAATATTAATTGACGTATTTGTTTGTTTTTTGTAATAATCAGTCCTTCAAAAGTTACTTAAGGTGGATACTTTTATCTGAAAAGCACTGTATAATATTATAGAATGTATACCAACCAGAACAGTGTTTAAAAATCTTTAGCAAAAGTTATATAAATAAAATTAAAGATGTTCTATTTTAGATTGTTGATGACTCTAAACTCTAAGGCTACATTATTTAAATTTAAATTACAATAGTATTGTTAGATTAAATGATTAAGTATAGAGTTATTATTATAGTTTAAGTACCTACTTAATGTCGTCGAAATATTACATTTATACATTATAAACCTTGCTAGGACCGGATCTATAATTGACTTGTGAAATGTATTCAAAGTAAAGATCACAATCCTGCAGTTTGAGACAAGATGAGTGACCAAACTCGTTGGGCTCGGAACCTATCTAGACAGTAGAATGTACGTGTAAAATATATGAGTTAAACGAATGGGAAGAGGAACGGCATTTAAATCGTGGCACAATGAGTCCAAAAGTCTGCAATACAACCATACGAACCCCATATGAGGCAGGCTGGTACCGAAATGCGATAAAATTGAACATGTACAGATAACTCCTGGAAATATTGCAATGAAATTTTTCATTGAGGGTAGCTTTAACCTATTTTTCCACCCTTTCGGACAACCCTTCTGCTTTTCCCTTCTATGGTGTTCTTGCTACCACATAGAAAAATTACAGATATCCCACTGTTTGGTTCTATTAATAAGTATTTACTTTTTATTTTGATTTATGTAAGTACTCTGCTTTATAGTTTTTTTTTTTTAACGAACAAGACGAGAGAATTTTAAACTAATTATAACTTATCTGCTACGTGACATAACCACTAAATCCACGTGACAAAAACATATTGCTTAGGAGGACGTAGCTAGATCATAAGCTCAGACATATTTACTTGATCACTGGCCGGAAGTAAAAGTTATCCATAGAAAATAAGATTCTATAATTAAGAAATACCAGTTAATTCAGAAAAAGAGAATATATTGCCCTAATGTGTTAGCTGGTTGATAATTTGTAAAAAACACCAATACAAGACTATAACGTAAAATAACGCCAGTTAATTATAAATGTCAATTAATTTTAAATAATAAAAAATAGCTTAGGTATAATAATCACAAAATTACGCAGGAGGTGTATTGGTCCAAAAACTCCATTAAACTAATTTTTATGGGATTTTAATACGTAAAAGGTATATACAAAACCACAGTTTTGAACTGTGACAAAAATAACATAATATTGAAAATCGGAACCAAACTAATAATACAAAATAAGATCATTTATCTAGAACTGTTATTGTTCCTTTTTTATAGTATTCGTATATGTTTTTTAGTTCCCTTATATGCGATTTCCGAAATCTGAAAATATGAATATTTTATATCCTCCAGACACAATTAATGCCTTAAAAGCAAAACGCCCATGGGGGTTGGATCACTTAAAAATTCCGTTTTATGTTCAAATCAAACAATTTCAATTTTCCAATAAATCTAATGTATCTGAAGTGCATCATAAAAATTTCAGTTTTACGGCAATGCTTTATGTGACCGTTTACTAAGATTTCTTTGTTTGAGATTAACTGAGAATGTTTTAAAACCATATATATGATTGTTTGCTATAAAAATGTACAAAATTCTAAATACAGAGCCGGGCTCAGAAAACAAAATTTAATAGAACATCGAAGTGTATAAATTTCTAATGAACTCTACTCTCGAAAAAGATATAATGAAAAACACTTCTGTTTGATTGCCATTTCTGTAACATAAAAGTAATTTATCATATTACCAGAAATTACGAATACGTGCTTTGGAAAGGTTTATAATAGGTAAGTAAGTTAAAAAATATATTTCTTGATGTAAGTAACCTTCAACTTTTTGAATCCGTAATCATATGTTTATATTTCAAGGCACAAAAATTATCACTTTTATAGTATTTTCGAAACAATTTTACTTTTAATAAAGGGTACCGTAAAGAGGCAGGTTTCTGATATATTTAGCTTCGCCCACCGAAATGTGTCAACTAGAAACCGTCGACTCTTATGCCTTCGTAACACTTGATGCCTTTTGGATTTCAACCTCAAAAAAATCAGTTTTGTCCCTCACCCCTTCCCTCTTGTTTTGGTCTCTTTTTGGTGTCGAAGTTATTCCGTACATGAGGTAATTTAGACATATGTATTTTAGCGAATTCCGAACTAGTAATGCTCCTAGGTAATTTCGATTCCAAAAAAAGTTAAATCAGGTTAATTTTACATAGTTTTAATATACTCGAGAGATAGAAGTATCATCTAAGAGAACAATAATATTATAAAATAATTGTATTATAATATTTGGTTTTAAGGTCCATTTTTTCTAAAAAAATAAATCACATTCTCGAAAACGTAGGTAAAACTAAAGGTATATTCTAAAAAGTAAACAAACAAAGTAAACAAACATACGAACGATTGTAATATTGATGTTAGGATACATTTAGTTAAAAAAACAAACACACATTCTCTAAAAAATAAAACAATCAAACAAGTACACACAAAGTAAACAACGTACACAAAATACATAAACAAACTAACAAACAAGAAATAAAAAATTATAATAATACTAATAGTCAGTCTTTAGTGATCGTCCTCGCAAACAAAACATTCGTAATTCTCTTGGTTTAAACCATTATTATAATTTCCATAAATACATTTGTTGCACGTTACGCACTTAATCCAAACTTTTCGATTATTATTTTAGCAAATTGAGCACGAGACACTGGAGGGAGATTCATAATGGGGGTCATTTGAACAAAGATTACAAGTGACATAGACTCACTTTAAGCAGAAGACGAAACAGATCCAATCTTTTTGCCAGTATAATCTTTATAACTGCAATTACATAATGAGCAGTAAGAGTCAGTATTGCTGTCGTTATTGCTGTCAATATTTCTGCCTTTTGGACCACGTGATGTTGAGGATATTGGCTTTGTTATTTTTACGTTATGGTTAAGGCAGGTTGTCATTGATTTTTTTTTAATTGACTTTGTTGGAAACAGTCTTTTCAGGCAACTTTAGTCGTAAAACACTAAAGAATTGGGTGCATTAGCAGCTGATTCCTCTAGTAAAAGGTTCAGTTCTTTGGCATCTGTAGAATTGGGGACCATCGTAGCTGGTTTCATTTTCATTTCTTCACCTAGTCTTATGGTAACTTTTGAACCCTTTTAGGAACTGCTGTTTTTTCTTTGTAAATACGAGATTCCTTTATAAACTCTAGTAAACTTTCATCCAAAGACCTTTCCGAATTGGATGGAACTTTTGCTAAAACGGTTTCAAGGCTAAAAGGGCTTCTGCCTGTTGATCAAAATCAGGACTGCAGGTTCTTTGCTGCATTTTATTTTATGTTTACCCATAACCGCTTTAACAGCGATAGGAAGTACTTCAATATTACTAATTTTGATGTGATTATTAAGTAATTTAAAAAGCTTCAAGGCAGAATAGGAAGAGATGCTAAAATGATACATTAGATTAAAATTAAAATTCTATAAGATTCTCAACTATAAATCATAATAGCACAGTACAGAATAGAACAAATAAGTAAAGAGATAAATGATAAGAGTAAACAAGAAGCTATATAAAAATAGGTACGCCAGAAATGGGATCAACAAAATAACATTTTTTTTGCATTGGTAAAGAAGAAGTACTGACGATATACGAATGAAAGACAAGAGTGAAAAGGATATGTAGTCCGAAGAAAGTAAAAGTCCATAGTTAAAACATTCGAAAATATTTAAGGCATTTTAAGATCAGTTAACTGGTCGCTTATAAATTGTTCCTGCTTGATTTCTTTCTTCAACTAATCTCGTTGTGCTGACTTTTGTAGTATATAGTTTCATCAATTGAGGGATCCAATACACAAACCAGTCAAGTCACATTTGAAAAAATGTTGGGGAATCAAGAAAAACATTTTTTATGTAAAATTTTTGGATAGTGAAAATTTTCGTGTTTTGTCTATTCAGATTATCCTGCTACATTATTTTTTGAAAGAGAAAAACAAATTAAATTTTTATTTTCAAAATATAACTTTTCGTTAATTTACTGAATGAAATAAACAAATAAACTAAACTTTTAATGCAAACTTAAAATATTTTCATTAAATCATCATCATTGAATTCTGATGCGGAAGTTTCTTTATCATCTGACGAAAAGCTCTGATGGTAGCCTCTGATTTCTTCATAAAACCACTGACCACATTGTAGCACATAATTTTTCGCAAGAGTCATGACGTGATCAAATTTATTTTTTTTTAGCTTTCGTCTTTCACTATACATCTTATTTGTAGGGTTTGTTAAGGTCAGGGGCTGCACATTCCTTCTATCTTCAAATTCAACAACATTGAACAAATTGAAAAAGACTTTTTCACTGCAGTTAAATGATATTTCAGTATCTAGTTTTTCATAACCCATGATTCGATATTTTGAAATCGTAAATTTCTTCCTTGAAGGATTCTTTACAAAAAACTGCTGCAAATAGGTCTTCAAATTTAAAAATATATCCTGGATAACTTTAAAGTTCTTGTTAGTATTTTCAATAATATTCGAGTACTCTTGAGGCAAATATATTTTGTCATATTGTCTTTTCTCTATTTCTATAGCTCCAAAGCTCCTATCGCCTGAATTAGCCTGAATCTTCCAGTAGTTACCAATATAGTATATTGTATAAAGAAACTGCACTAAAACAAAAAAATTTCGTTCTGCGACGAACAGTTGTCAGAAAACATGTATATATCAGTTATTTCTTCTTTAATGTCGTCCTTTAGCAGCCAATGTTTTATCATACATATAAAAAAAACTTTTCTCAGTACAAAAATTATATACCCAAAGTTGGATTTTGTAGAACACTTCTCCACTGGAGGATACCAGAAGGGGCAAATTTTGTTGAAAATCAAACATTTCTACACTTGGGTCGTTTTGTGTTAAAGTGTGTCTTTTGTTCTTCATTGTCAGCAGCATTAATTTTATTTATTAGTTTGTCGTATTTTTGGCATGTGTCCGACTTTGGTTTACCAAAAGACATTTTAAAGTTTTCTGCAAAAAAGTTTCTATAATATTCATATTTTAGAATAGGCTTGATATTTTGATTTTCATGAAGTAACTGTTCAGGTTCATATTTCTGTAGGTATATGTGATGCATTTTGGCAATATTGAGGAGAGGTGAGTGGTAATAGTGGTTCAAGTTGTCTTTTAGGCTATCATGTGATTTGTATTTTGGATAACTAAGAACATGCTCACGTATCTTATTATCAGTGCCTTTAGGTAGTTTATTAGGCCTGAACACATGCTTTCCTCTGCTACCTATAGAAGGAGCTCCGTGTCTCATATTTAGGTGCTTTTGCAATCGCTCAAGTCTTGCTTTTGTGATTCCATAAAGAGAGGGGAATGCTTTTTGCAAATTTTCCGCATCACACCATTGCAGCGAATTTGAAATAATACAACGAAGTTAAACTAAACAAATGATTTTACATTGCAAGTAATAAATTACCTTGTAAGTAAATGTTGCAGTTTTTTATTTTCATCGCCGGAACGTGGTCTAGCTCTCTGTACTGCTATCTTGAAAATATTGCCATACAAATATGCATCCTGCTTTTGAATTCATAGCACAAAAATCAAGAAATATTGTTTCACAAGTTTCTTGTCCAATTTCATCAAAGCACTTTAGTTTACAGCGGTAGTTACTACCAATATGTTTTCCAGGTTTATGAATACCTTCAATGTTTATATAAGGCTTACCCTTAGTTCTTCTAGCTTTCTGTATGTTTCTTTTTTATGATTGTCTACACACAAGCCGCTTTTTTCCTCGTTGTGGCGTGTTTTCAAGAATTCCAGGTATTTGATCACTTCCATCTTCGGATGTAACACGGACGTCTTCTAACATAAAAGGGACAGTTCCAGTGCCTTGAATTTCCTCATCAGAATCATTCGAAGACGAGCTTGTTGAAAGTGGTCTTTTGAGGTTAGGGTTATGTTTGTTATTAGCCGGCAAATAATCTTCGTCGATGTCTGTACCCGTACCTCCAGAAGGATTATCTTCACTTTCACTATCAGATAACATTATTTTTTTGAATGAGCAACTGATATAATTTAAGAGAGCAGGAGCGCGATATCAATAACAACACGTTTTTGTAGCATTTAAGTTTTGATTATTGACAGCATTGTGCAAAAACCGATGAAGTCCAGAACTTGACCAGTTTAGGCAAAGTATTAGAACATAGGCAACCAATTATACACTGTAGTTTCCACAAATTAAATGTTAGACAGTTGCTTTATGCATTGGAAGATGCACAATTTAAAACTGTGCAATAATATGAATCTAACTCATTTTGCCCAAAAAATGGACTTGGCCACTTTATGCATTAAACTCCTCAATTGTACTCTATCTAGTGTCCACATACTATTTCTGAATAATCTTGAGATTTGGTATTTCAGCATACCGACTCACTTTAACAACCCTATCATGTTGGATATCTGACATATTGCGAGAACTAATACTTCGGTAACAACAGACGGGTTATATCTCCTTAGAATAAGGATGTCAGTGAGTTTGGAGTTATTTGGTTATTCAGATATTTTGTCTTCTTTCAAACAATGTGATCTATATCTTTGGTAAATACTTTTACTATATTATGAGTAGCTAGTTCGTTAGTTGTATGAACAGTTTTAACGAAATTGGATTTTAACTACGGGCTCCAAGGCTTCGTGGCATTTTAAGGAAAATAAGGACTTTTTTAAATTTTCGACCTAAATATTCTGTTATATTATTATACTGAAATAACAGTTTCTTTTTATCATATTGCATGAATTTTCTCTTACTTGTTTTGAATTCTTCCGTATATGAGACCCCTGCACAAATATTTGTATGGAAGTTTAGATTTAATTTTATTTTGTGTTACAGGACATTCATAGTACATAGTATTTAGATTTTCACCTACGTAAACATCATCAGTTTATAATAAATATAATAACTGGCCAGTATGCCAACCCGTAAATATAAATGAATGATATTTAATGAACGAAACATAAAAACAAGCGACATGTGAATCAAGCTAGTTTAAAATTTAACAGTTTAGCAGAAACTGCATTTATTTTTGTTTTATTGCCTATCTATTTCGCGTAAAACGGTCCGCTTTAAAAATGCTGCAGTTGTGCTCGCATCTGTTTTCATTCAGTTGCGGTCCTGTATCCAAAATTTGTTATCTCAACTTACCCATATATTGGATCGTAAACTTCGAAATAATAATTTTAAAGCTCTTTCGTATATGTTCTGCGTTAAAATGAAAAGAATATATCCGCACAAAATGATTTTATAAATAAAAATAAAAGTTTTCCAGTGAATCATTTAAGCCCGAACAAATGTCTTGAACGTCGTAAATATACAGAGATTTAATATTGAATTTTATGGGTCATATAATTGACGGAATTATGTGAGATTTTTGTGGGATTATAAGCTTAATGGTAAATTGCGTTTATACTTATAAATATTAATGTTTTGGACGGCTGGTAATTTCATACATGTTCTTATTTTAGTATAATTAAAATATAGATAAGCAAATCGTTTAAAATCGTATTAAAAATAAAGTGTTTTCAAAACTTATGAACCCTGCTCTCACTCATAAAAAGGTCAACAACTCTGCTGAATTTCGTCTCTTAGTTTTATTTGACAAGTTGTAGGAATTTTTTAAATAATATTTAACTTTACGTCCGCAATATAAGAAACCCTGTATATATTTGAGGCAAATGTTGAAATTTGGTAAGACCCTTTTTGACTTAATGTATAGGGGAGGGGGCAAAATTTTTAAAAAATTTATTATGTTTATTTATTGAAAAACAAAGAAAATTAAACATAAAAGAGAATTTTCATATGATGGATTTAATTATTCTGTGACGTCATGGCTTACTTCCGGTTTTTCCAGAAATGACAGAAAATCACAATTTATTTTTTATTTTGAAATGAAAACCCTTTTTCTTATTGAAAATTTGAATTTCTGGTACATTTTTGTATAAGAAGCGTGTCTTGAAAATTTTTTCAGTAACATATTAAAAAAAATATGTTCCAATATGATGATCATTTTGACAGCTGACCAAAAATTTTCAAAACATGATTCTTATCCATAAATGTCCCTAAAATTCAAATGTTCAATAAAAACGGGGGTTTCTATTTAAAAATTAAAAATAAATTGAGATTTTGTTATTTCGATGAAACAGAAGTAAGCCATGAAGTCATACACCAATTGAATCCAGTATACGAGAGTATTTGTCCCAAGCTTTTAAACAAATAAGTTTCCATTCCAGTATCTCAATTAATAACGAAGATAAAAGCGGATAGAATTATTAAACGGTTTGTTAATAATAAAAATGCTTAGATACGCCACTGGTATACGGTAAATGGGTCTCAATGGGAATTTTAAAGCCTAAAAAGATAATTATACAAAAATGTCCCAGAAATTTAAATTTGCAATAAAAAAGAGGGTTTCCTTTTAAAAATAAAACAAAAACTGTTATTGTTGGAAAAATCGGAAGTAAGCCATGACGTCACAGAACAATTGAATCCATCATAAGAAAGTCTTTCAAACAGAACAAAATTAATCCAATAGCGAATCTAAGGGGGAGTGGAACTGTAGTAGTAACCCTAACAATGTCACTGACTTATTTAACAGAACTGATACTTAAGTTGTCATAACAAGTCTCTAATAAATTAAATAATCCAACAAAAAAAGACAAAATAAAAGTATATGGATTTATTAAACAAGTAAAAAAATTATTAGTAATATTATTATTATTATTACATATTTTTATTACTTCAGCTAAAAAAGTAGTATAATCAATAAAAATCAATAATAAAACATAGGTAGGTATTTATGTGAAAATGTATGAGATCTTGCCTAAGCCTAATAAATTGTCATTGAAGAATAGGTTAAATAATGTCAAAATAAAAACACTACTATTATATAATAACGTACAATTAAAACGTATTAACAAAAATAATTGGTATATTTGCGATTGTAATTTATATTTTCTTCATTTTCAGTTTGAAAGAACCCATAGAAATTAATGATTAAAACTGGTTTCCTATCAATAAGTCATAACATTGTATTTTAGCCATATACAATAATTAAAGGCAGAAATCTAATCATTTGCTAAACATTTAAGACTTGATGGGATGTTGAAGGGATGTTGAAAATTATCATAAAATAATAATTTATTGTTTATTTAAAACCTTTTCTGATGTCTATTATTTCCAGTATTACTGTTATTATTACAAAAATAAAGGTTTTTTTTCTTCTTATTATACAGCTGTCTATTTATTTTTTGATTTAATTTTGATTTTGCTACTGAAAATTTATATAATTTAGTTTTTTTGCTAGTATAATTTGCAACATAGCAACTCCGGTTGCTCATTTTATTGTTTTTAACCTATTTTTTAGTAAAAAGTAAAATGTATGCGTGTATTTGATACGCCAAAATTACAAAATATCGCCCTAAACTACTCGAATTATCCGCAGCTTGCGCTAGTATCGCTTTTGCTTTCCTACTATGACTTCGCACTGATCGAATAGATCGCAGCTATGTTTTAACATGCCTTAGCGTCGTGCTAAACGCTCTTTCGATTAACTCTGTCGTTGGTGGAAGAGCCATAAATATTTTTTTAAACCACTTTTTATGTCTGGATAAAACTCACAATGTTTGGATGTTGTAACATTAATGAAAAGCTCATTGTGTGTAGAAAGCTCTTTCGTACTCCAGTTTGGTATTCAGCTTCAAAATTGTCGATTTTCTAATCGGTAGTGATAAAAGTATTGTTTTTATGCTTTTGGGATGTAACAGGCTTAAGAAAAATTAACAGAGTCTTTGGAAAAGCGTAATATAAGCGACGTAATAAGGAAATCCAGATATCGGCCTAAGATGCAAATGGCCTAACTCCACTTTTTACCAAAGGTACGTTTTATTGGCTACCCGTTAGTTAAAGATCTGTACTGTCGATTCGAAATGGCCTGCCAAGCCTATTTTAAATATTCGCGCCAAAAATTACATGACTCATTTTGTATAACCCCTTTACATTAAGGTTATGTATAAAAGATTTTTTGCGTTTCCTCAAAAATTTATATTTTAGGAGTTAGGCCATTTGCATCTTAAACCGACAATATTCAATAAATATATTCAACCTATAATATTCTTCAACTATATTAGCCTTAATATTATTATTTCTATATGAGATTGTTGTTCGTATGCATAATCTTACGCGTTGTTGATTAAGTCGCTAAAAGCCAGGGGGGGGGCAACTGCCCCCACTTGCCCCCCCCCTCAAACGACGCCCATGCCAATCATTGTAAATTATAACGTTCAATTAAAGCTATTTTAAGCTATTTAGGTTTTTATCAGAAGCATAACGTTTGTTTATATTTTTTGTAAATAATACAACTTTTTTTGTACAAAATTTAATCTGAGAAGTGCGTATATACCATTATTATATACCTTATTTATATTATAGAAATTTATTTTGCAAAGTGCGCCTATGGAACGTGACGTTATATCCCCACTTTTACTGCACTACAGACCATAGGCAAGAACATGGTGACAAACAATGATCAGCTCTTTTTCTAAAACTCAAAAACCCGTATTGGTATAGTAAAATGAGTGCGATTAGCCTTTTTACTATTTCTAAAATATTTGAACTTGTTTTCAAATATTTAAGTATCTCTGTCAAAATGGTATAAATTCATTGCATCGGTCAGGTTCTCAAAACGGTTTTAGCACTTCAACTTTCCGTCGTTAATTTATCTGATACGATTATCTATAGCACAGAGAATAGAAATGTTGATACCCAGGTTCTCTTTTATTTAGTTAAGGCATTTGACAAATTTCTGGCGGCTTAGTACCCCTATCATAGATAAGATAAGCCATCTCTTAACCCTTAATTTAGCAACGTATCTTATAGGATACATCAAAAGTATTCTTTCATCAATACACTTGTGCAATACCTATGCGTATTTTGGGTAGCATACGTACATTTAAAACTATGTTGTTTTATGAATTTGTCAATTTTTTTTAACATTT